GCTCTTCTCCCGTGGTCATTGCTGGACTAGGTTCCTTCTCTCTGGTTTTCTGCTGCCCCCCACCCCCAGTTTTCCTCATGAGTACGGCTAAAACCAGGTGGAAGGCATGCCCTGTTCTCAGTCTCAGGAAGGGAAGAGACAGGAAGTCCATGCAAGGGATTGCCTTTTAAGCAAAAAAATTGCACACATTCTGGTTCTGCTGCAGTTACGTTGGCAAGAACTTAAGTGAGCACACAGCTGCAGATGAGGCTGGAAATGCAGTTTCTAGCTGGACAGTTGCAAGGAGAAGTGAGACATAGGATTGCCAGATTCGATGCAGGATGACTAGTTAAATTTGAATTTCAGATAAATAACCAGTCATATTTTTCAGTATAAGTATACCCCATGCAATGCTTGGCATATACTTAAACCAAAAAAAGAATTAGTTATCCTAAATTCAAATTGGTCTGGGCCTTCTGTATTTTTATCTGATAGATCTGGCATCCCTGTGGGGGCTCAGAGCAGTCTGCCACGGAGAGCCACTACTCAGTTGTCCGAGCACCCGAAGGTGACTGCATTAGGCTGGGGCAGCCCACCATCAGTCAACAGAACCAAGCAGGAAACGTTTCAATTCCGCAATGCTCATTGCTGGTTCTGTTTTAGTATCAGACCTCTCTGTTATTAGTAATACCAAATCTCTGTACCTTGACATTCACCTTCTACTTGCACACTCCATCAATGACGAGTTCACTCACTCTAGGAAACCCAAGCCACTGCTAAAAACTCTAAAATGCTCGGTTGTTTTTCCTAGAATTGATTTGCAATCAGGCTTCCTGTTGCTTTTACCCTTCAAACCTAGCCCTGCCTTTGTAGTTGCACTGAAAAGCTCTTCATATGAGACTTATTAAACAATTTAATGGCTGTGCTGCTGACATCAGAACAGCACTTTACAGTTTATAAGGTCCCCTCTCTTATACTGTAGAGGGATGCCCACTACCCACCTCAACTACCACCCCTCCCACCAACACACATACTCCCCAGTCTTCTCTGGGGCTGCATTGCCCCAGGACTAACACCTGATTTTTATATAACCTGGGAATGACTGGGACTCATCCTGATTAACAACTCTGGATCAGCCCCCACTGGTCTGAATCTCCATGATGGTGTGAGGCTCAAAGCTTAACTAGCCCTGCATATCTGTCCTTCCCTCTGAGGGTCCTGTTAGGTATTAGTAATCATAATTATAGTGATATTATTATAGTAGTAGGTTTCCCTTATTATGTGTTAGGCACTGAGCTAAACTTCCCATGCTTTAAATTTTATATGATTATCTCATTTAATCTTCACAACACCCTACCCCCTGCCACCCCATTCTACAGATAAAGAAGTTTAGACTTGGCTCTCACCAACTAGTACACAGCCGGTAAGGGGCAGCCCTGTGCTTGCCCCGTGGCCTGTCTGACTCCACAGCCTGAGCTCTCTGTGCCCTGCCTCCGTGGGCTTGCTTGGCTGCTCCATCAAGGCTCAAGCCTACATAGAGCTCATAATTGTGAAGCCCAGGTCCCTCTCATCCCAGCTCCTCCTTGAACAAGAGCTGGCAGGGTCCTTCTACATCTCTTCACCAAGATGCAGCAGCATCCCCAGCTCTCAATTCCCTCTCAAAGCCAGGAAGACACCCAGCCCTGCAAGCCACCACTTGGCCCTAGAGGCCTAGCTGCCAGGGCTGGGCAGGGGCTGGGCTGGGGACTCTGGCTCAGCTGAAGCCTTTGTCTTCTAGCTGGATAAAGACTTGGAAGAAGTCACCATGCAGCTGCAAGACACACCAGAAAAGACCACCTACATTAAACAGAACCACTACCAAGAGCTCAATGACATCCTCAACCTGGGGAACTTCACTGAGAGCACAGGTAAGAGGAAGCAGGGTCCTGGAACACAGGGTTCTGGGTTTCAGACCCCAGACATCCATCTTCCATTTTATAGATGAAGAAACTGAGGCTCAGGGAGGGCAAAGGACTTGTCTGAAGTCACACATACACGCAGAACTGGAGCCTGTGGAAGCCCTGTCTCCTGACCACAGTTCAGTGTCTGTTTGGAGTCCCACCCCACCTGGACCTGAGGCTTGTTCCTTGTCCCTTGGGTTCAGTTCCACACATATATAATGTGGCCAGCATTCTTAGTATGCTGACTGGGAGCACGTTGAATTTTCCCTTTTGTTCTTAGTGAGGTTTCGAAGAACTTCT